ATTTCATTACATGCATTAGTTTAACTTTTGGTTCACTTGGATATAAACGGATAAAGATAGGGTTGCTACAGGTATCAGTAGGATTTGGTATGGCTATCTAATTGTTACTTTGTTGCAACAATAGTTGTTAGATAATTGTATATATCTGATATGAATCCCTTGAGCATGGGATATAGTTGGTAATCATATTCCCTATAAAGCTATGTTCTCTGAATTTGTATTCTCAAGCAGAGACACATTTAACTCCAGCCCAAATACTTCTCACAGTACCGATAAAACTATAAACATTGAATCCTTGCCACAACTTGGAAATTTGCTTTGGGGTTTTGATGCAGCCGCAAGGACCTCTTACACTAAATATTTGGCATGGACACAATACAAAGTGAAACCAGTACTACGCTTGATTTCTTGCTCTCCCTTGTACACCAAAAGCAGTACAAAATTTACAACAATCTGCCATCAAACAAGTTCACGAGCAATACAGCATTCTCCTTCTTCTGGTTCATTAGCTACTCTTCACAGTTCTCAGGCTCACATCTCTTCTCCTCTCTTGAAGAAAGAGGCAAGCGGCAGAGCAGTCGTCTACTCTTGCCGAAGGGAACTTGCGCTTCCATGCACTTACTGCTGCTTTGACGATTGCTTTCGATGCATCTTCTTTGTTTTGAACTGAGGATACAATTGAGACTACTTGCTCGTTGCTGAGCACATCCCAAACCTAGAAATAGATAACAAAGACTGGTTAGTGATCTTTTCTTGGTAATGAAATGCATAACCAGAAAGACTAGAATTATAGGGGTATAAATGGATACAAATAACCCGATACGAAAGTAGGCGCAATAGTGTTTTGACAAAGGTTAATTGTGGATAGACTCTGTAATATCGTTGTTTTGCACTTACTATGCATCTAGTTTTATAGCGGAAAATAGGCCCTCTGAGTTTATTTTTTTTAATCTTTTACCCTCAGGGAGTCCATTCCTCAAAACACAAATTTCTCTTTCTCTGAGGCTAGAGTGAACTTTTTTAACTTAGGGGGGCCTATATTCAACAGTTAATAAGCTCAAAACAGCGGTACTATAGGGGGTCTATCCACAAGCAACCCTTTTGACAAGCATGGATCTATATGTTTAAAATATGGAGATGAATATGGATGCTGAGAACTATCCGATGCATCCCAATATATTTCCGAATAATAGAATTGAATATATCAGTCAATTTAGAAGTACAGAATACAACGCAATGAACGTTTTCACTGAACGAATGTTAAATTTGAAAATTGAACTTATTTTTCCTTCAAAATTTCAGTCATGGTCAATAGCATCTAGTTGTTATCCAGATTTGGTTCCAATATGACCTTGTTTGTGTCAATTATGGATAGCGAGTTCGAACGTTCGCCTAAGACCTAAAATTTCAGCATAATTCATAAATTTGTCTCTTGCTAGGCATAAGAGTTAACAATTAGCTAGAGTTCGACTGAATGCATAATGAAGAGTTGAGTACATTACCCCATCAGTTGCTAGAACTATGAACTGATCTCTATTTGTTAGTTGTCGATACGAAACTTGAGGAATGGCAATAACACCATAATTTTTAAGCTGGAAATCTCCAAAAGCACGAGCCATGGCGAGTCCTGGAAAATTATTATTTGGCAGCCAAACACGCTGAGTATTTGGCTCGTCTCTGAGAGCGAAAACTCGACCGTTACTCTTCCTTATTCTCTCTGCTTCCTCTGTAGATAAGTTCAAAACCCAAATTTAAATACTTAATATTTAGACATAAATGAGTAAGTTGTTAAGGAAGATAAGAAAGGTTTATTTACGTGGTAGGCTTGGTTTTAAATCTGTAGTTAGTTGGATGGTTTTTAGGTTACCCTCCTCAGAAATAGTACCCAATATTGCTCTTGAATCTCCAAGATTAGATATGATCAAATCCTTTCCCTGTCAATTGAACAAAGAATGGATTAAAGGTCTTTCAAAGAAAATAGTTAGTATGGAAGCAATAATAAGCCCGAAATAAAATTTTCAAAAGAAAATGTTATATCAAAGAAAACAAATTAGAAAAAAAAAACTCAAGCATTATATTGAAATCTATGTCTTAGAAGTAATCTAGTTGAGATGAATTCATGAGGTTAGTCAAAACGAAGCAAGATGTGGTATAATCCCATGCCAAATAAGAAAGTGATTTCTGTATATGGCAAAATAAAATTCATCCACGGGCTCATCGCAAGTTTCTCCTTTGGATCAAATTGGATTTCAAGTGCATATTAATTAATAGCCAATGACTGTATTGTTTGATTACAAAATTAAAGCCTTTTCTTTATCATAACTTCGGAGTTTTGGTGGAGAGAAAGGAACTTTAAGATGATATCGAAGAAGCCCACATTCAAATTTCTCTGAGCATCTATTCAAAAGCAGATCTTAAAAAATATATGCTATGTTTCACTCAAAAATATATGTTTTGTATATAACCTAAATTTCAACCCTTGAAAAAGGACGATAAATCTACTGAGACATACCAAAGTATAATTAAACTGTCAATTCTAATAACAATTTTCAAGGTCGATGTAATGGAAAGAACCTTAACATATATTATGGAAGGAACTTTAATATACATAACAGTATGGATATTTTTTAAAGCTCGTTAGAAAATAAGAGATCATTATATCATACCTGTTTGATGATAGTCACCGCAGTACTACCACTATAAGTACAATCCAAATCAGAATGTAGCTTGAGCTCCTTATCCATGGCTCTGAATGCACTAATGCATGCTTCCTTCCACTCATCAAACATCTCAGGTGATGATGAAGTTAAATCATCGCCATCAACTGAGCTCATATCATTGCCATCAGTGAAGATGCAGCCACCATCGGCAACCAAGACAGCGTTTCGTTGGCTTAATAGCAACGAAGGCAAGTAATCTCTAACAAGTTTGCTCACAGAGTGACCATTTCTTCCATGGCCATCAAAGACTCCACAAAACACACCTTCCTCCATTCCAAACCCCTTTCAGTACAACATGAGAAAAGTATCTTAAGTTTAGTCTTTGCTTGAAATCCAATAATTGAGTGTTTTTATATGGGGTTAACTGTGAATAGACCCCATATAGTTTTATTGCTGCAGATAGACCCCTTGAGTGTTTTTTTTTTTTTTGACTCTTTTACCTTCAAAGAAAGAGGAAATTGTTTTTTTTTTTTTTTTTTTTTGACAAATAGACGTCATGAAGGTAAAAGAGTCAAAAAGAAAATCCATTCAGAGATCTATCTGCAATAATATGACCATAAAGGGTCTATCCGCAATTAGGAGATAATAAGGGGTGTCGATCCATAACCCTTTAAAATATTTGCATGCTGTTAACTTTGACTTACGAAAATTTAGAAAATTGGGTCAAATACTCATGGGTCAACTTGGCAAGTTGCACTACTTGGAGAAGATTTACTCTAAAGGAATTTACATGTTGAATGATATATATAGTTTCCTACCTCCTAATCTCGTAAGGACCAAATTACCCATGTTGGCCACTCTATGAAATTTATGCATAATAGAGATGTGTGTGTGTGTGTGTTTGTGTGTGTGTGAGATTCAAAAAATAAACTTCTTTTATATACAATATTAAAGATCAAGAAGGTCTAACAACAAGAAATTTCCGAAGTTGAAATGATAATCGACAATCATAATTCATATCTGCTTCTTAGCTCCCAAAGTATTTTTTTCTTAAGGGCTGTTTAGTTGTTTTCCGAAAAAATTCGGAAATGAAAAACTCACATTTCAACTAATTTCAAGAGACTTCAAGACATTTCCCGCATTTTTTTTTTGTTTTGCAATGAAATCATTGTTACGTCACTGTCAAGTCACATAAGAAACAAATCTAGCCGCAATAGTAACAGTGTTTCGATTTCTGTGTTTGTTTGAACATAAAAAGAGGAAATGGAAATCAGCCGCAATAGTAACAGTGTTTTCAGCAATTAAATAATCTGTTTTATTCATCGTCACTGTTTCAACAGTGCTTTTAATAATTAAAAATTCATTGAAGTGATATTTCCAAGTGTTTTCAGAGATTTTTGGTGTGAAAACACTTTTCTCAAAAATCTGATGTGGCATCCTACGTAGCACCCTTATTTCTTTAAATCACAAAACGAAACAAACATATGATTTGAAAATCGGTTGAAACCAAAATCCTACGTGACAGGGGGTTTCTTGAAATCTGACGTAACGGGGGGTTTTCTCTTTTTTTTAGCAAACAAACAGCCCCTAAGTTAAAATATGGGCTTTAAGGATAGAAATTTGGGTTTTTGCAAGCTTCCTTCTTTTTCTTTTCCATTTATCTTTTTCCTCCTCCTCCTCCTCCTCCTCCTTCTTCTCCTTCTTCTTCTTTTTTTTTTTTGGAATGCTATCTAAAGCATCTGAATTTTAAATAATTTTATTCCAAAACTTAAAAATTATGATGATAACACCAAAAGTTACTTTTCTCTTTAAAAATTATAGATCCCTCGTTCTTTTCTTTTTTACCTGAACTTCATCGCTGGTCCCCGGCCAGACCTGAAATTATAGATTCCTCTTATTCAGTGGACTTTATTTAAAATTTCTTCAGTAATCTCCATGTTACCCACATGTCCAACTTTAGCAGAATATCATAAATCAGTTAATCCATCTAACTCTAAATTAAACAGCACAACAAACTAAATCAACATCTCTAATAAACTACGAAGTCCCACATCAAATATTCATGTAGTTTCAAAAAAAAAATGATAGCATCAAATTCAGTCATCAGCATCTCAAACAAAAACCAACCCATCTATTTCATTTATTAGGTTTGATATATAATCACTGAATAATTTTACAAAAAAAAGAGAGTTTATCTTGGAAAAATACCTGGCAGAGGATTGCAGAGTCCTGATTGGGACCCTTTTTGCCTTGCTGAGAGTAGAGAGAAGCCAGCCTCCTCATTTCATTTCCATCAATATCAGAACTATACAAATCTTCATCTCCAACAACATATACTATGTTTTCATGAGTCTGTTGCTTCTCTAGAGACTCTGAAGATAAGCAGATTCCCATTTAGCTTTGAGAGAGAGAGAGAGAGAGAGAGAGAGGGCAAAAGGTTGCTTTATAGTTGGTTGTCCACGCGGCGCATGTTAGAAGATGATTAGAGGAGAAATATGAAATACTTGTTCATTTGTTTATTTATAGGAGCCAGAGAACCCTTTTGCAACTTTTTTTAAGGGGGGAGTAAACCCCATAATTCCATAAAGAGCATATATAGCAAACAAAAAACCTGTTTTCTGAACGTTCATGATAATATTGATTTCTGTAAGGCTTACATTTTGTATTTTATTGAATATACTTTGTAAGTTAAAGAAAGTTTTTTTAATGGATCGAGAGTTTTACTATTTTTACACTCCGGTGTTTCTTTTTAGAATATGTTTTTAATGTGTGTCAAATGGGTGTGATTTTGGATCGCTCTGATTTTAATTAAGTTTCTTATAATGCATTACAACTTTATACTATTAATGAGATAAAAGATAATTTAAGATGATATTACCGGATTTTGTTCAAATGTCGCTAGTTACGTATTTAAGCTGGTTAGTATATGAGTTCAGATTTTGTAACATAAAAAATGCTCCATTTGTGAATACATATTAAGTATAAAAATAAAATTATAACCTTTATTCCTAGGGAAAAATGTGTCCAGGCCCCAAAAGCAGAATGTTCATGTGACCCGCCCCCTTGTATTTTGCCCCTATTTTGGCCCATGGATTCAGCCCCAAAAAGCTACCATTTAATTGTTTAGAGCCCCTCCACTGGTCAGCAGTACCCTAAAAAAGAGGATTGTATTTGAAAAAATCGCCTGAAATTACCCTCCACTTATCCTTCCCTAGACGTCTGGTCCACAACACATGAAAGTCATCGCCGCATTTACATGCCATCTGATGGAAAAAATGAGGGGAAATTTACTCCGCCTCTTTTTTGACTCTATCATGAGCAATAACAGTTATTTCAAGTTAGTTCTAACGTTAGTTTAATTTATTAGTTATAATGTTAGTTCTAACTTATTTTATTTTAGTTTCTAATTTAGTTGCTTTTAATTCATTGTTAGTTCTAACGTTATTTAATGGATCGTTTGTTCTAACTTATTATAGTTTCTGTTCTAATGTTAGTTTCTAATTAGTCTGATTATTTTACAATGTTAGTTCTACTTCCAGCTAGTGTTGGTTCTAATATAGCGTTTTCTTACAGTGGCTATATTATTTCTATGTTGGCTCCTGTGTAGACTGACACGATACCTGTTAGATTGATACCTGGAGAAGAGAAAATAACATCATCAAGTAGAAGTAATATGACATTTAGACGGGCAACAATGTACGCATGGAACTAACTGACTTAAATAAATTAGAACTGAACACGATACCAGTTAGAAGCTAACACAGAGAGCTTAGACATAACAGCAATATTAAGTAGAACTACCATGGAATTTAGACCCAACAATTACGTAGAACTAATGACCTTACAATAATTAAACTAACACGATATCTGTTAGAACTAACACTAGAACTAACACATTAAATAAATTAAAACTAACACGAGTGGTAAAAATTTTAGAACTAACACATCTAGTCTAATTTATACAAAGTTAGTTCTATTTTATATACAATTGTTCTAATTTATAATAATTGTTCTATTATACCACGTTAGTTCTATTTTATACAAAGTTTAATTTGTATACCACATTATATCTAATTTATACCAACTATTCTATTTTATAACTAGTTAGTTCTAATTCATATACCTATGTTAGTTCTAATTTATGCCCTTAGTTTCAATTTATGTCAAGTTAGTTCTAATATACAAGTTATTCTTCTATTATAACAAACATATCTCATACATAATACAATGTAATTCTATGTCTACAGCGTCGTTAGTTCGTAATTGATACATGTACATCTATTCTGTAGCGTGTATAGTTCTAATCTGCACAAGTGTTAGTTCTACGTTTTTTTCCTTGAGCGTGTGTTAGTTCTAATCTGTGCACAGTGTTAGTTCTATCTGTAGAGTGTGTTCTAATCTGCACAGTGTTAGTTCTATGCTAGTAGAGTGTTAGTTCTAATCTGCACAGTTGTTATTGTAGAGTTATTCTGATTCTGGAGCAGTCAGCTTAGAGTTGTTCTATTCTGCACAGTGTTAGTTCTCTTCTGATAAGTGTTTAGTTCTATTCTCCCATTATCCGTTGTCATGAGTGTTGTAATCTAGTGTTGTTCTTGGTAGACGTTAGTTTAATCTGCACAGTGTTAGTATCTATCTGTTTAGCGTGTTAGTTTCTAATCTGCACAGTGCTTAGTTCTATTCTATAGCTGTGTTAGTCTAATGACCCATGTTAGTTCTATTTTGTTAGCGTGTAGATTCTAATTACACCATGTTAGTTCTGTCGCAGTTCATCGTCAGTTCTAGCTGTATACCACGTGCTTCTAAAATTTATACCAATTAGTTGTAACTCGTAAGCAAGTTAAGTTCTATTTATACCACATTAGCGTTTTTTATAACTAAAGTTAGTTCTAAATTATACATCGTTAGTTCATTTTATACGCATGTTATTTATTACAAAGTTTGGTTCTATCTCATATAATAAGTTATTCTAATTTAACCATATTAGTTCTAATTATCCCATCAGTTCTAATTAATATCAAGTTATTCTATTTATAAATCACAAAATTAGTTCTAATTTAACGAAAGTAGTTCTATTTCTGATAACAAATTAGTTCTAATTTATACCAGTTAGTCCTATCTTATAGACAAGTTAGTTGCTAATCTTTAACCAAGCACATTAGTCTAATTTATCCCAAGTTAGTTCTAATCGTATACTCAAGTTATGTTCTTATTTTATAACAAATTAAGTTCTAATTGTATACAAAGTTAGTTTATTTATTAATCAAGTTCAGCTCTAATTTATATCAAGTTAGTCCTATCTCTATAACAATTAAGTTCTAATTTTAACCACATTAGTTCTAATTTATCCCAAGTTTAGTTCTAATCTTATGAAATTAGTTCTATTTTATAACAAGTTAGTTCTATTTTATAACAGTTAGTTCTTAATTTATACATAGCTATCGATAAGAACAAACTGTGAGCGCAACTCTAGTTATTTATGCCATTTTTTAAACCTATCAATAGCTAACATATGTTAGTTACTCACTTATTTCATGTTAGTTCTAACTTATTTTCATGTTATTCTAAACTATTTTATGTTTCTACATGGCAAGTAAGGACATAAAAAATTTAAGTGGACTAACATTAACACTTTGTGCACCTGGTTCCATGTGGTAAGC